ACGATGACAGGCACACACGATAGACAGGCACACGCACAAACGACAAACAGGCACGTGCACACACAAAAGACAGGCACACATACACATGACAGACAGGCACACGTACAAACACAACAGACAGGCACATGTGTACATGACAGATAGGCACATGCACACATGACAGGCACATGCACACATGACAGACACACACACGACAGACAGGCACACGCACAAACAACAAACAGGCACATGCACACACAGCAGACAGGCACACGCACACACACGACAGACAGGCACATGAACACACAACAGACAGGCACATACACATACATACACACAACAGACAGGCACACAGGCACACACACACGACGGACAGGCACAAACAAACATGACAAACAAGCACACACACACACACATACTACAGACCCCAATGAACAGAAATGCAAAGTCTCGGAATCTTTAGAAACCAAACTCATCAAAATATTGAAAGAATCATGCATTATGACAAAGGAGGATATACTGCAAGGATGCAAAAATGGGTCAATATGTGAAAATTAGTAACACACTAGTAAGGAAAGATAAAAATCATATGACTGTATCAGTGGATACAGAGAAAGTTGTAAATAGACTCAAAAGCTATTTATGGTTTTTTGAGAAAAAGTCCTCAAAAAAAATAAAATAAGGGCCAGAGGGTTTAGATACTTGCCTTGCACACAGCTGGCCAGGGTTCAATTATCAGCACCAAGTATGGTCCGCTGAGCATACCAAGAGTGATCCCTGGGCAGAGAGTGAGGAGTAAGCCCTGAGCATCACTAAGTATAGCCAAAAAAAAAAAAAAATCCAGATTGGAAGCAAATGACACGAAAACACAAATTCCAACGGACTTTATTAAAAAGCTACTAAAAATAATAAACCACCAATATGAGAAAATGCTACAAAAATCTGTTCTGTTGTGCTAGAAAAGGGATAAACAAAAGGAAGTTTAAAAATACCACTGACATTCCTTAATAACACCAATGCACCTGAATTACAGAGCTAAATATCCAAGCCACAGAGCCAACAAATTAAAATCAGGAGAACCAAACTTGAACAACTAAACTTAGAAGGGTGCTGTCAAGGTGGCAGGTTGGGTCTGGGCCGGCAGGAGGGAACCTGGGAGCACTGATAAGAGGCACTGTGGTGGGATTGGTTATGGAATACTGCATGTCTAAACCCAACTCTGAATAACTTTGCAAATTATAGGGCTTTAATAGAAAAAAACAAATTCTTTAAAAATTACACACACACGCATACAGTGACAATCACATCAAAAGAAATCTAGGAACAAACTAAATAAAGGAGGTCAAAAAAATGTATCTTAGACACACACACAGAGGAATCTTGGACCTGAGCAACTTGCAGCAGAGATGATCCTAGACTTCGCAAAAGGCCTTCTCCACTGGGCTGCTCCAGAGGGGGGCAGGTATAGTCCCTCCGCCAGCCCTCTAAGAGCTCCAGTGGTCGCCATTTTCTAGAAGCCAGCAAGAAGCACCAGGTATGAGTTCATGGTGATGGCAAATCCCAAGTCTGAAGGGACTGGGGAGGAGTGGGCCCTCCTTCCTCCCTCCCTGATGGGACGCCAAGATGATGTCACATCTGCCCACCGTCTACTTAAGCTCCCCGATGACCACAGTCCAGAGACACACAAACAAATCTTGGACCCCAGCAACTTGTTGCAGCGATTTCTTCAGACCCTATTTATTTAAATCTTAGAATTCCTTGAGCACTCAGCAGCTCTCGAGGCCGCGCAACATTATGTTATATCCATTACAAACAGTATAAAACACATTGTCTAGCACTGCATTTTCTGCAGGTATGAGGGGTGATAGGACTGGTCTTGAAATAGCAAATGTAACTAAAGTAGAGAAAGAATATTTTGCAAATTGTCTGCCACAGAGGCAGTGGGAAGTGTGGAATGGCGGGGGGTAGGGGGAGAATCTGGGGATCTGGGCGGTGGAAAGCATGCACTGGTGAAGGGATGGGTGTTTGATGACCATATGATCAAAGTTCAAGCATGAGATTTTTGTTACTGCCTGCTCGAGGCAATCGAAAAGCAACAGGATGATCGTGATCGTGATCGTGATCGTGATCTTAAATGTGGAAAACTATAACTTGCTTTTAGAAGAAATAAAGACAGAAGCAGGAGAAATAGTATAGCAGGTACAGCGCTTGCATGCAGCCAACAGGAATTCGGTTCCTGGTACTCCACAGGGTCCCCAGCCCTGCCAACAGTGATCTCTGAGCACAGAGCCAGGAGTATTCCCGAGCACCATCAGGTATGCTTTCCCCACCCCATTTTTAAAAAAAGTAAACTAAAATACATTCTGTGCTTATGAATACAAAGAACTAAAATTGCTAAAATTATTATCCTACCCAAAAAATGATCGATCAATACAATCACACTCAAAATCTCAATGTCATTCCTCAATGAAATAGATCAAATGTTACTTAAATCTATATGAAACAATGAAAGATCCCAGTCAAAATAATCCTGAGACAAAAGAATAATAGTGAAGGCATCACATTATTCAACTATACCACAAATCTATGGTAATAAAAACAGTATGACATTGGAATAAAAACAACACAGATCAAGAAAGCTAAATTTAAATCCCAGAAATAAATCCTTGTGTATAAAGACAGTTAATTTACAACAAAGGAGCCCAGAGCATAAAGACTAGAAAGAAAAGTTTCTGCAATAAATGGAAACCTGGGGCCGGAGCTACAGGACAGCAGGGAGGGCGTTTGCCTTGCATACGGCGAACCCAGGTTCGATCCCCAACACCCCACATGGAACCCCAAGCATGCCTGGAGCTCAGAACCAGAGTAACCCCTGAGCATTGGCAGGTGTGTCCCAAAAGAAGCCAAAAATCAAAGAACTGAAAAATAAATGGAAACCTGACTAGCCACATGCAAAAGAATGAAGCTAGATACTCTCACATATCATGCATGAAAGTTAACTCAAAATGGATTTAAAACTTGATTTCAGACCTGAAATCATAAAATTTGAAAAATATTGAAAAATAGACAAAACATCCCATGCGGCATGCTGGCTTCAGATGTGTCTTCAGGGATCTGGCTCCAAAGGCTGGGGCTGGAGAGATAGTACAGCAGGTAGGGCACTTGCCTTGCATGTGGCCAACCAGGGTTTGATCCCTGGCATCCTTGCTGAAAACCACCAAGAATAATCTTTGAGCACAGAGCCAGGAGTAACCCCTGAGCTGGGTGTGGCCCAAAAACAAAAAGCAAAACAAAGGCATTGGGACTACATCAAACTGAAAGTTTAAAAGTTCATACACAGCTCACTTTATGAGGAATAGCTATGAAAGTTATTCACCCAACCCACTAGGAAACAAAGCACCTCATGGAAAGTGCAAGAGGGTCGGGTAGACAGCTGAGAGGGTGGAGCACGTGTCAGATGCAGGCAAGGCTCCAGGTTTGACCCCTGGTGGCACACCCCAACCTCCAACACCCCAGCACTGCAGCACTAGGCCAGAGCACCACTGGTTGAGACCTGTTAAGAGAATGGGAAGAATATGTGAGGCCCCGGGTTCAATCCTTCCTACCACAACACAAAAGGAGAACAGGGAGCGGAGAAGAGAAGAACAAACGCTATCCCAAAGAAGACATGCAGATGGCAATCAAGCATAAGAAAAAATGCTGTCAAGGAAATGAACATTGAAACAACAATAAGATACCACCTCACACATGCCAGAAACAACAGTGCTGAGAGGCATGTGGAGAGAAAGGACTCCTCAGACCGTGTCAGAAGAAATGTAAACTAGCCCCATTTCTATGGAAAACACTGCAGATTTCCAAAAATGTTAAAAGTAGAATTACCAGGCTGGAGAGATAGTACGGCAGAGAAGGCACTTCCTGTACACAGTCAATCCAGGTACGATCCCCAGCACCATGTATGGTCTCCCAAGGAATGATTTTGGATGCAGAGCCAAGAGTAAGCCCCGAGCACTGCCAGATATGGCACAAAAACAAACAGAACTGCCATATGATCAAGCTATGGAGGTCCCTACAACACTAGTGAATAAAAAGGATGTGGTATCTAAACACAAAAAAATACAATTTGAAAGGATGAATCTCGTCCTTAGCAACAACATGGATGGAAGTGAAGGACCATGCTGAATGAGACAAATGCCACATGATCTCACATGTCTGTGGGATATAAAGTGACAAAGGAACAGAACAACGTCCAGTGGAAGCAAACTCTTTGGCTATACCCCTAGGGCATACACAGTCTTGTAACCAATGTCACCTCAATTTCAAAGATAGAACTGTGTGGGTCTGTCAACAACATCCTTTTCCTGGGCCAGAGGATAGTACAGTGGGTAGGTGACTTACCTTGCTCACATCCAATCCCCGGCGTCCCATATGGTCCCCTAAGCCCTCCAGGAGTGACCCGTGAGTGCAGAACCAGAAGTGATCCCTGATCATGGCTGAGTGTGGCCAAAAAAAAAAAAATCATATTCCTGGTCTGAGAGGCAGATCAAAGGGCGGGGTGTAAGCCTGGCATGTGGGAGTCCTCGGTGAGATTCCTGACACCACAAAGTCCCCCAGCACCACTAAGAATAATCTCTGAGTACTGAGCCAGTAGTAATAATCCCTGTGTACCACCGGGCATGGCCCATAAAATCCAAAACAAAAACATCAAATGATATGCAAAGGTCTTAATGATACTCGCTGGACTTGCATTTCCCGATCTAAATCTTCCACAGAATCAACTTTCCTTCCAATCCCTCAGCCTAATTCCACACCCCAAGTGTCTCTAGTAATATCTTCTTTTGAATTATCATGGGTGACAGCTCAATTTCCAAAGAGTACATACGACTTTCAAATACAACTTAAAGAAAAGTAACACTTCATATATACAAATTCAAGCAAAATTAAAAAGACTAATGAAACACTAGTAAAGCCAAGTCAACATTAGTGGAAACTAAAGAACTCAAAACCAGAGAGATGGGACTTACCTTGTCTTTGTCTAGGTGGATTCCACTGATTTCAAAATCAAACAGAAAAAGTTCAGCCACCCGCCTACAAATAAAAAGAGCCCAGGTTCTATAACTGGGAATAAGAATTGCAAAAACAACAACAAAAAAGTTTTTCTATAAAATACAGACTTTTCAACCTACTGTCAAAAAACAAAATATTTCAAAACTCTCTGCCTCTCCCCCTCCCCCCCCCTTCATCCCCTCCCCGTGTTTGTCTGGCGCACACATACACATACACATACTCTGTCTCAGCCAGGAGCTTCACATTTAAGGAGTTTGTTTTTATCATCTTCTTTTACTTTGAGCAGTTTGTGCTTCAGGGTTGCTCCCTGCAGCACTGGGGAACAGCGCAAGGTCAGCGGCATGCAATGCAGGCTATCTCTCGTTCCCAAACTGCTCTTCCCAACTACTCTACAGATCACTTGGTAAAGTACTTGTTAACTGTGTAACAGCTAAATATCATCATAAAAACTACACCACAAACTTTAAACTGAACTAATTACTGAAATGAAGTCAAGTTTACCTGTTGCTTTTTTCTAAAAGACATAGGCATCTTTTCAACTGTTTTTCAAAAATATTTCCTGCATACCATAAGCAATGCACCATACATATACATATATGCTTGCTGTTAACTGCAATTAGGAAAGTCTATACATACATATATATACACATAAGCATATGAATATATCTATTAGCAATAAAGAATACATTATATAAATATACATTTTGATCTTCGGTATGTATATTTAACAAAACTATACTCTCAATTGCTTGCAGGCAAAAACTTAGGCCCTACACTGCATAGACATATCAGTATAAATACTCAGTAAATTAATGAATACAAGATGTAGGAAATAAGAAAATTTCTAACAGGGTTCAAATAAAGTATATGGAGAGTTCAAAGATAGACCATCAATAATACCTTTGGAGAGCCCAGCACATTTAAATGATTGCCTTCAATTTCTGCCAGTAGCCATTACCATTAAGAAGCAGGCTAGAAGCATAGACAGTATGGCCCCAAAACAATTTTTTTAAATGCTCTGGATTTGGTTCAACCCAACATCTTCTTGTGCTAAATTTGCAAGAGGAATCCACACTATTTCAAGAGAAAGCACTCTTGAGTGCTCTAAGAGATCACTTCCTAATAAACAAAACATGCATCTCTAAACTAAACAAGCACCTCAACTTTGTTTCCTTGATGGAACAAATTTTATCAAATAAATACTGAAACAGAGTGCCCCTAAGATAACATCTACAGGGGTTGTACCCTGTAACATTTTAATCCAAAGGAACATCTTTCTCTTTTTCATTACTTAACAGTTACTTTCCCATTAGGTACCCCAAGAATGAAAATATTATAAGTTTTGCTGGGTTCTGTTCTTCCCATGGTACTTGGGACCAAATGCAGGGCCACAAGAACATACTCCACCACCAAGCCTCAGAATCAGAATACAGAATTCATAAAATAAACTAAATGACAAAAACCATGTGCTTAAGGGCATCCAGACATTATCATACTATGCCAGAAAGACTGGGATGGGATCCATGGTTCTTCAGAGATACCAGACAGAAAGAAATGTATGGCCCCTTAGCCACTGCAGGCAATATTCTAATAGCAAGTATCGGAAATGCCTGTCAAGTATCAGGGGATCAAAGAAGCATCTCAGTGTTGAATGCTCAATTCCTGAACCTAAGTTTCGTGACACATATCACTGCTTGTCACTTACTTACATAGAAAATCTACTCTATAAATCGGACCTAAATATCTGGTGTGGAGACAGAAAAATATTAGCTTTGGTGTGTTTTGTTTATTTGTTTCTCCAGAGATGGGATCAAACCTAGGACCTCACACACGCAAGGCTCTACCGCTGAGCTCCATTCCTGGCCCTAGGAAAAGCATTAGGGAAAAACAGGTCACCCAACCAAACTAACCAATTCTCTCCTTCCAACACCCACAGCTGATCTGGACTACAGACAGCCTGCCCCAACACACTGGGCCTCTGGCTCCACAGCCTGTGCCACGATCCAATGGGGGCCACAGTCCTCGCCTCAACTCCAGTCAGTTCTTGAAATATCCTTGACACCAGGGTGAGTTCTCCCACCAATCTTTCTTCCACCATCCACCCAATTAGGGGTCTCTTTTTAATTTAATTTTAATTTTTTTCCTAAGGGCTCCAGTAGCATTTGTAGAGCATTCCACTTCATGAACTTTTTCTCTTTTTTTTTTTCGTCTTTTGGGTGAAGACTTTTCCTTTTTCAAGTTGAGGCCACAGGAAGCTTCAGTTTTGGGCTATCAAGACGTTAAAAGGATGCATGAATACACAAGCACAGAAGGGACAAAAGACTGCATCAACCAAGGCTGCAGCCAGCATATAAATCTACATAGATATACATATATATGAGTATGAAACACCTATGATTATTAGCTTTTCACAAAAGCGTATATACATATATATCACAGTGTGGAACACCTATGATTATGACCTTTTCATAAAAGCATAGATATACATATATCACAGAGTGTGGAACACCTATGATTATTAGCTTTTCATAAATGTTCAAAAGGAGCTTACCCTTTGTAAAATGTTCTAACCTGTGAAAGCCACTATAATGATTACTCCATCCAAATCTCAGCAATAAAAACATGAAACAGTTCATACTTGGACAATTTTTCAAAGGACTCCTACATAAGATTAACTTGTTTCTTCCAACAAGTAGCTTCTACTTAGGATATTAAATTCCTTGATGCTGAGCCGGAAGCCGAATTTCGTAATTGATGAGAAACATTTTCTTTCTTTTCAATCCTAGAGTATGCTTCAAACCAGCTTTTATTTTGTAATTTAATTTTCTTTAACCTTTCTTTGAGATGCTGTGGTTCACAGTACTATTAATGATAGGGCTTGTGTGTACAACGGTCTGGACCCACACCCCCAATGTGAGTGCCCGCTTCCATCCCCAGCGTATCTGGGTTCCCTCTCCGCTACCACATTTGCGTTCTGTAAGCTCAGTTCCGTGACCAGTTCTCAGGTCCTGGCCTTTAGCCATTAGCTGTTTCCTCACTAAGCACTTCTTTATAGCGTTCATACAAGAGAGATCATTCTGTCTGTGTCCATTCCTCTCCTAACTAACTGTACTCAGCATGATAAGCTCTAACTTAATCTACATTATGGAAAACTGCAGGATTTCATTTTTATGACCATGTAGTATTCCACTGTATGTATATGCCAGTCTTTTCACCTCTTTTTGGGTTATCTCCAGATCTTGGTTATTATAAGCAGTGCAGCAATGAACATGGGAGGGCAAATGTCTTTCCAAAATAGTGTTTTGAGATCCTTGGGGTAGATGCCAAAAAATGAAACTGCTAGATCATGTGGAAGCTCAATTCTTAAGCTTTTTGAGTCTATATTGTTTCCCATAGAAGTCGAATCAATTGACATCCCCACCAGCAGTGGGTAAGGGTCTGGAACCAATTCTAAACGTGACAACTCTTTTGAGATTGGCAGATGAGGGCAGAGCAATAGTACAGCAGGTAGGCCATTTGCCTCGAACCTCTCATGGTCCCCAGACCACCAGCAGAAGTGATCTCTGAGTGCAATGACCCCTGAGCATCATCAGGCATGTCCGCCACCCCCTCCCCAAAAAAGGGAGGTTCTGTAAGTTTTTTTCAACATGGGGACCAGATGGGGTGCTGGGGATTGAACCCAGGTCAGCTCCATGCAAGGAAACCATCTAACCCACCGTACTCTCTCTCTCCAGTTCCACATACAGTACCCACCGGAAGCCTTGGTCACTGCTGGGTATAGCCCAAAAGCCGGAACAAAGAAAACTACTATTAAAATGCTTGTATTTCTTTCCAACCTGTTTCTTTGTCATGTATTTTTTAGGCTATGAAGAACATGTTTAATTACATAAGACACAAGTAGAGAAATTAGCACAGTGTCCACCCAGTACAGGGTTTCTGTCCACTGAACTAACACTACCTAAACACAAGTTTCTCCCTCCTGATGTGAAATGACACTATCACAATATCTTGTTTTATATGTGTGTGTGTGTGTGTGTGTGTGTGTGTCTGTCTGAAAAGTCTCTATGCTTCCATCAACCTGATTATGTTTTCCATCGTGTTATGTTTATGCAATGTTACATTTTCAACATTTTCCTACCTACTGCAGTATATTTAACTCTCTAACTTCAAAATTATTTTTTAAATTACCAACCAATCGGGGGCTGGAGCAATAGCACAGCGGGCAGGGCCTTTGCCTTGCATGCGGCCAACCCAGGTTCGATTCCCAGCATTTCATGTGGTTCCCTGAGCACCACCAGGGGTGATTCCTGACTCAGAGCCAAGAGTAACGCCTGTGCATCGCCGGGTGTGACCCCCCCAAAAAAAAAAAATCCTCCTTCAACATAGCTTAGACATAGCTTGCAAGACAGTAGTGAACACTACTGGTTTTTTCTTCCTAATCTAAGAGCACAGTCTGTTTCTCCATTTAATCTTTAACATTTCCTAGATGTGTGTGCGTGTGTGCATGTATGCATGTTTGTGTGAGATTCTGCAAGATTCCTGAGTCCAGTCCAAGGTGTATTACAGCTTTTGTCACTCACTTTTGTGATTGGGATTTTTCTCTTCCATTATGTTCTGAGAGGGTGTTACATTCTTTGTTCACAAGAAGATTCCTAATGATTTTAGAAAACCCCAAATAAAGATTTCTTTGTGGCTACACTTCTTGAAGAAGCTAACATAATAAAACTTCCCAAGGGAAGAAAATATATAAATATGTTAGATTACCAGATCAGGAAATATTTTTAAATAACGCAAAAGCTAATCCTTCAAGAAGGGCATCTAAGAACAAAATGATGCTGTAGTCAATTTAAATTACACTTTTGTTTGGTTTGGGGGCCATCGTGGACTGTGCTCAGGTCTTACTCCTGGCCCTGCACTCACCCTCCTGGTGGGCTCGGGAGACTACATGTGGTTCCAGGAATCAGCATTTATGAGCAGTTGTTCATTAATGAACCATTTTCTACAGACACAACCAGATGGTTGTGTGCAGGTGCAGGTTCAAAGGTTGCAGAGTGCAGAGGAGGCCGAATCCTTGCTCTCAAGGAGCATCCAGCCCACTAAGGATGCTGTGAGCATTAAGAACGAAGTGAGCAGGGATGTGAACACAGGAGGGAAAAGTAGAGTAAGAAGACAGAACAAGATTCAGCACAAAGACCATGGAGAAAGCAAGGTTCCTATGGAGCACTGAAGATAGAGAGGAAATCATGGCCACAGAAGCCAGAGAGCCTACAGACCAAGCCCGCTGAGCACAGAGACACTGGTCTCAGGTCACCAGTGACCGGCAGGGAACAGGAAGGAATAAATACCTGGTTTCAGGATCAAGGGAATCCACAAGATCTTTATCAGCGAGTAATTTTTGCAAACTTTGGTACAATTCTACATTTGTGTTCAACCTAGAAAAATCACAAATAAAAAATATTCAGTCATTTTCCAATAACTTTTTTTTAACTTTATCCACCAAAAAAAAAAAAAGGTGTTAAATTCCAGCATGCACATACCCAGAGATTAAAAATTTGAGATCTTGTTAGGTTTTGCTTTACTTCATTTACACAAGGAACAGGATGGCTATTCTTAGCACAGGAAAAGGCAATGCTTCAGAAGTGCTGAGGTATGAACAGTTCTGAAGGCACAGGAGACATTCTGTTTACATAATTTATTTATTGGGGGTGAGGGGGTTGGAAGCCACACAGGGTGGTGCTCGAGGGTGACTCCTGGGTGGGGAGGGCTCAAGAAACCCCCTATGGTGCCAGGGAATGGAAACATGGCTGCCGAAGTGCAAACAAGGCCAGCACTGTCCCCTAGGCATTGGCATTGGTCCCACTGGGACACTGTTTTGTTTTGTTTTGTTTTTTAATATCTTTTTTTTTAATTTTTATTAGTGAAACACCATGAGGTACAGTTGTAGACTTACAAATTTTTGTGCTTGGGTTTCAGTTATACAATGATCGAGTACCCATCCCTCCACCAGTGCCCATTCTCTACCACCACTAATCCCAGTATCCCTCCCACCCCCCATTCCCCTCATCCCACCCTGCCTCTGTGGCAGGGCATTCCCTTTTGTTCTCTCTCTCATTTGGGGTGCTGTGGTTTGCAAAAGAGGCACTGAGTGGCAATCATGTTCAGTCTAGTCTACTTTCAGCATGCATCTCCTATCCTGGGAGGATCCTCCCAACACCCTTTATCTGGTGCTCCCACAGGGACACTTTGAACTATGACTGAGGTAAGAGGAGCAGACAGACATGAGGAGCCAGGAGAAACAGGCTCACAGGTGACAAGACGCCACAGGGAAACATTCCCAGCAATAAGAAGCCAACAATGATTTGCTTTGTCTGTGATGAGAAGTGAAGCCTGAGGATGGAGGGGGCTGAGCAAACACCAGGATGCGAGAGTCCTGGCCTGAACACTAGGAACAGGCCCCCACAGCTGTGTGGAGCGTCCAGGCAGGCACCAGGGCCACACATCTGGGAACACCCCTGCCCATGTCACTGTCAGCCTGGCTGCACAGGGAGACTCCTCAGTTCCTAACACCTCCAGCTGTCCAACCTTCTTCTAGTTCACCAGCCCTTTTCACAGAGAAACCCAACATGGGCCAGACACAATTCAAAGTCACTGCAAGCTGGTTTGGAATTCATTTCTGATCACTGTGTGTTCTGAAACCTTCAACTGCTGCCAGATTTTATATGACTCCCACATTTAGCAACATGAACCCATCTGGGGTCATAAGGCACCGTTGAGGGCTGAGACACTGCGTGCATTCCCATTCCCATGAGGCCATGTCAGTCAAGTCATGGCACCACACCCAGTCATGCCACCACCTTCCATCCTGAGTATCAAAACCTCCAGAGCAAGTGGGTCCTCTGAATCCACCCAGACCTGACCAACACTTGGAGAAGGAGATCCTACTTCTTAGCCAACCCTACTGGGCCTCGGAGACAGCTCACAGGCCAAACCCTGCACGTTTCTAGGAGTTGACTATCACGACAGTGCTCCTGGGCCAGTTCAGCACCAAGGCAATGGAGCTGGTCACCACCAACCACAGATGGACAAAGGGACCAGGAAAACAGAGGACATCAGAGTGATGACCACCCCTGTTTGGCTCACCCACCAGCTCCTCACATCACAGGGAGTCTGGCAGTGGAGAGGCAGCTCACGGCCCATGTAGCAGAAGCCACAGCCTGTTTCCCACCAGTGCTCTCTGCTTAAGACCTTGCAACAAAGTGAACACGTTGGCCTAAGTGCAGCTCTTACTCTAAACAAACACACCAAATTCTAGGCTTTTGTCTATCACTGAAAAAATAAAGTAGGTTGACACATACCCTAAACTCATCCTATTTTTCAAAACTCAACAGAAGCTGCTAGTGAAGCTATGGTTTAGTCAAACCAAAGGAAAAAAAAGAGTCCAAGTGTCACAGAGAATCAACTCTCCAGTGAAGGCTTGGGCAGACCCAGACTTTCCGGCAAGGTGCCATGAGGATGCACAGACTGATTCTCTCCCTACTAAGAAGCCAAGGCACGCACAAAAATCCCCTGACCTGGTATCATTTCCCTAGAGTCCGGTCACAAAATAAACTCCAAACTCCACCGAACTCAACACAGGACTCCCAAGTCCACACAGACCAGAGGGTACTGCTCTCAGGGGCGTGCAGGTGCTCACTCCCCTAAGTCTGTCACAGGCGGTGTTTCCTACCAAGTCCCCTGCCAGCCCTGAGTCCTCCAGGAGTCTCACTAGATGGAAGCAGCCACCACTCTCCCCCACCTAGAAATAAGTCTTCTGATGGAGCCCGGCCTGTCATCAGGTCCTGGGGTTCTCCCACGCACTCTGACCTTTACGAATACTGCCCAGCCACACAAGTCACCTCAGAGGGCTCTCAGTTAGCTTAACAAGCACTTCAGAATGCTAAGCGGCTTAACTATTTAAATTTGCACCAAAAAAAAAAAAGGCACTTCAAAATGACTCACTTTATCACCGCCTCAGCCCTCCCAGTCCCCACTGACCCCCACTCCCAACTTCCCAGGAATTACAAGGCCACTCCCTGTATGCAGAGAACATTGCTTTTCGCCTGTGTCCACAGAGAACATGACAGCGGTCCATCACAGAATCAAGCAGTTCCAACTTGCCGCTGAGATATCTAAAACCAGCACAACTGCGTAACTGAGACACCAGGCATGTCTAGTAAAGCCGGCACCTTTACAGGAGCTCTGTGTGTCATCCTACCTGCCTCCCAACAGCCCTTAGAAGGAATCACTTTGTGACTCGTGCGTAAGGCACCTCTGAAGCCCAAAGACCCCCGCTAGGGCTGAGAAGATGGGGCTAGAAGTCAGGGCCAGGATTCTCCCACCTGTTCCCATCCTAGGGAGCTACAGAGATATGGTGGCAGCTGCCACACTGCACCCTGCCGGGTGGAGACAAGCATCCTAAAGCCTATTTCCAAAATCCACGAAACCCTATGTCACCCAGCAGGGTAAGGAAGGAAGGAGAGAACCTACTTTTCGACCATGGTGCCAATACTTCGACAGGCCTCTTCCGCTGCATCTCTGAATGCCGGCTCCGGATGAGCAATCTTCACAAAGTCAGCCTAACAAAGAGAGAAGCACACGACTAAAAGGACCCTGCATGAAAGCTTTCCTCCAGGACCTGAAAACAAAGGTGAAACCCTACGCTTGAAAATGTGTCACTGGCCCCAGTCTATGCATTTCTATCAGTGAAATTTTCCTGAACTCACGGGCAAAGCCCCTTCCTTCTGAACAGTGGATTTCTGTTATTTCTTGGACATAGGATTGTTGCATTTGAAAAAAAATACTTTTCCTAATTACTGTCTTTGTTTTCCTTGGGCTGAAGTGATAGCACAGAGGGTAGGGCATCTGTCTTGTATGCGGCCATCCCGGGTTCAATTCCTCCATCCCTCTCAGAGAGCCCAGCAAGCTACCGAGAGTATCCGCCCATACGGCAGAGCCTGGCAAGTTCCCTGTGGCATACTGTGGCATAGTCGATATGCCAAAAACAATAACAAGTCTCACAATGGAGATGTTACTGGTGCCCGCTCAAGCAAATCAATGAACAACAGAAGGACAGTGCTACAGTGCTACAGTTTTTCTTGTTTATGTATAAACACCAATGAATTCTTCCTAATTCTGCAATTAAAAAAAAAATAGCCTCTTGCTAGCCTCTTGCTTCAAAAATGGTAAAACAAATTGGCAGGAGAGGGTGTATTTAGAGGCACAACTGCCACCAGGAGTGATTCCTGAGCGCATGAGCCAGGAGTAACCCCTGAGCATCGCTGGGTGTGACTCAAAAAATCAAAAAAATAAATAAAAATTTTTAAAAAAGGGGGCTGGAGCGATAGCACAGCAGGTAGGGCGTTTGCCTTGCATGCAGACAACATGGCCGACACAAGTTCGATTCCCAGGGTCCCATATGGTCCCCCGAGAACCGCCAGGAGTGATTCCTGAGCGCATGTGCCAGGAGTAACCCCTGAGCATCACCGGGTGTGACCCAAAAAGCAAAAAAATAAATAAAAATAGAGGCACAACTGGCTGCTTACGGATACTCCCAGCTCAGTCAATCCCAGCTGTGCCGGGGACCTTGTGGTGCCAAGGAATAAGCCTTGCACACAAAGCAAGGACTCAACCTGCTGAGCTCTTTCCCAAGCTCTGAAAATTCTAAAACTTTTGCATTAAAATAGATTGCAGGATAGTCGTTCTAACCTGTTAACATGGTTCCAGAGTTCTGGTTTGGTCTGGTTTAGTTTTGGTTTTTGGGGACTTACCTGGCTCTGTGCTTAGGATCACTCCTGGTGGGGTCAGGGGGATCATATCAAACTCAGGTCGGCCCCATACAACACAAGCACCCTACCCACTATACTACTGATTGCTCTGACTCATTTCTCTTGTTACTAATTAACACAGAACACAATTTTAAAACTCACTTAACTACATTCTAGTTTTTGTGTTGAAAACAAAGACACATTCTCTTTAGAGTTGATTTATAAGCAAGAATACTTGGTCCCATCCAAATCATATGGAAGCTGCTATGGCGACGGCAATGCTTGAACTGAGCTAGAATTTCTTTTCTTCTAATTTTGAAAAATTAAACATAAAACTAGATATTCATTTACTTGTTAAATGCAGTCTACTACAAAACAAAAACATCGTCTACAAAATACTACATACTTTCTGCATTCTCCATGAAGTAGACCTCAATTACCGAACATAAAACCATGACAAAGTCAAATTTTGTAATTTTATAATAAAATAGTTTAGCATCTTTTCTTATTTTGTTTTGCTTTGGGAACATATCCAGTGTTGTGCAAGGCTTACTCCTGGGCCTGGGCTAAGGGATTACTCCTGGCAGTGCTCAACAAACCACAGGTGGTACTAGGGGTCGAACCCAGATAGGCCATACACAGTGTCTATCCACGGTACTATCACTCTGGCCCCAATGTTGGTTTGATTTATATATATATATATTTTTTTTTTTTTAAAAGGTAAAGGCCCTCCCGTTGATCGTCGATTTGCTCGAGCGGGCCCAGTAACGTCTCCATTGGAGACTTTGTTGTTACTGTGTCTGGCATATCGAATACTCTCGGTAGCTTGCCGGGCTCTCCGAGAGGGGCGGAGGAATCGAACTCGGGTCGGCCATGTTGGCCGCTTGTAAGGCAAACGCCCTACCCGCTGTGCTATATCAATGACTTCCTACTAACTCCCTGTGGTTTTCATACCACTGTCAAGAAAAGCACAAGTCCCACTGCCCTAAGCTGGGGACCACAACTACACATAAAAGAATTTCACCAGGGGCTGGAGAAATGGCACAGGGGGTAGGGCATTTGCCTTGCACGCGGCCGACCCGGGTTTGATTCCCTGCATCCCATATGGTCCCCTGAGCACCACTGGGAGTGATTCCTGAGTAAAAAGCCAGGAGTAACCCCTGTGCATTGCCGGGTGTTACTCAAAAAGCCAAAAAAAAAAAAAAAGAATTTCACTGACACTGACTAGTATGCTGGGGTGTGTGTGTGTGTGTGTGTATGCGTGCGTGGGGGGGGGGGAGACATCACATGCAAGGCAAGCTTTCTTCTGCAGTGCTACATCATATCCCTATAAACACTTTCCTGCTGGACCAGTAGGGCCCTTCATTAGTGATGGAGGAAGAAGCCATCCTCCTTGGCTGCAGGCCTTCTCCAACTGCTCCATCATTTAAACTCCCACTATGTACATCATTGGAAGGTCAGAACAAGACCTGGTGGGACCAAATGCAGGGAACTCCCCTCATACCTCACTTAACTCCTGGGGAAAGCCCCTTAAGAGACCTGCTTTCCCTTAAAACTGGCAAGCCCAGGGTTGGAGAGATGGTTACAAAGGCTGCAGTGATTGTCCTGCATGTGGCCAGCACCACGCGGGGTCCCCCAATTCCCATCAGGAGTGATCCCTGAGTGCAGGACCAGGAATAAGCCCTGTGCGCAGTTGGGTATGGCCCCAAAACAAAAACTAGTGAGCCAATAATGATGATGCAATATGTTAGCATTGTAGACTTGAAAGGTGCAGCTGCTCAACTGCACATATGGGGAAAGGGTATTTTCTAGAAAAGACAGGTGTCAAAGTCCACCTCAAAAGGGATGCATGGGTTCATGCCCCTTATAGAAAGAGCAAAGGACAGAGAAGAAAGATGAGTTGTTGCCAGAGGTGAGAGGTAAGGGATGGAAGTAGTAATAAAAGAGTTTTGAAGGGGATGAAGGAATGGTTCCCATATCCTGATGAGGGGTGGTTGCAAAACACTTAACATTCACACTACATCACTCCCCACAAAGCACCCAGTTTTACCCAATGTTCATGCTCATTGTTGTGACTACTGCTGAAGATGAGGCACTGCTTACCTCCCAAGCCTTGCCCTAAGCAGAGAGCTGCTCTCAAAGACACAGAGCACCAATACTGGCAAGTGACATGGACAATCACACCTCTGCAAAAAGAGATGCCAAGCCATGAGTGCAGGTTAAAGCTTGGACTGGTCAGAGCTTGAACCCTAGTGAGATGCTCCATGATGGGGGTTACAGAATGTCAGTGCTACTCATGAATGTCTTCCAAGTGCCCGGAACAGCACCTGGCATATTTTCAGGGAAGAGGATGGGAGGAGGGGCACCAGAAGAGAGGGAATTTACCTCAATATTGAACTAATATTGTGTAAAAGCTATGTAAAGTTCGTCGTGCCGATATGCGCAATCACAATTCAGAATTATGAGCAACACTCAAACTGCTTTTATCAATTTGACTGATCAAATGTGCCTCTTGGGGGCTGGAGCAATAGTACAGTGAGTAGGGCACTTGCCGACCCAGACTGGCTCCTTGGCATCCCATATGGTTCCCTGAGCCTGCCAGGAGTAATCCCTGAGCACAGAGTCAGGAGTAAGCCCTGAGCATCACTGGGTATGGCCCCCCCCAAAAAAAAATTTAAAAAAAAAAGAAAGAAAAAAACAAAATGTGTGTCTTGGGGACTGTAGGTACACTACTTATCTTGCATGTGGCCTACCCAGGTTAGAACCCCGACATCATATACGGTCCCTAAGGGGACCCTGAGCAAACCTAGGAGTAAGTCTGAGCACAGCCGGGTGTGACCCAACCCACACAGGACAGTATTAAAGTATTTGCCTTGAATGCAGACAAACCTGGATCAATCCCCAGCACCACTTATAATCCCCTGAGAACAGAGATCAGCGTAGTCCCCGAGCACTGCCAGATATGGTCACCACCCCCAAAATGTGTTTTTTCTGGACACCGTGCCTATCTCAACATAGACTCTTTAGTTGTAAAGAGACTTAACTTCAAAATAAAACCATAAAAAAAGTGAGGGTTTTTTTTTTTTTTTTTTTTTTTTTTGGAGAGGAGGCGAGGCAGTCCCAAAGGTGAACCCAAGGCTCCTCCAGGTAAAATATCTGCTCCAGTCCAATGAGCCATCTCCTTCCCAGACCCCAAAAGTCTTTAATGCAGTTTGATACTAAACCTTATTTTTAATTAGAAGTGATTTGTGTGGCTGAGACATAGTATAGAGGGGACGCCTATCCCCAGCACCCCACAGTCTCCAGAGCCTCACCAGAAGTGACCCCCAGCACAAAGTCAGGATTAGCTCCTGAGCACTGCGAGGTGTGGCCCCAAAACACAGTTTTTAAAAAACTGGTCTTTCATAAGTTCTATTTTATTATATACTACATACATGAAAACCGCCGAAGAATCTTTGCAGTGAGTCATCATTCCTTTATTATACACAGCTTGTATACTCTGTTAACCATACCTGTTAAATCACATGCTCCCAGAATGGCCCTTTCCACTGTGTTCTCCACTCCTCAGGACAAATGCACCCAACACCCCCCTGCAGCTCCTAGCCACAGGCAGACACGCCGGCAGGCAGCCCAGCGCCCACTCACCAGGTCGGCCACGCTGCACAGGCAGTCCGAGAGCTCGTCGAAGAGCAGCACGATGCCGGGCCCCGGCGGCAGGGAGCATGCGCGCTCCACCAGCCAGTCCGTCCTGCGCAGGGCATTCTCCTGGGCGATGCGGAACCCTTCTGGGGAGCTGAGCTCAGGAACTCCAAAGAGACCCTGAAATCCAAAGCACATTTCCAGCTTCCTGAGAAGATGCCACTTTCTGGTACCCGGAATACAAGTCACAGTGCCGGGGCGACCAACCTCCCATCTGCAAGCCATTCCACAGTCATGAGACTAAAGATGCTTGACTGTAACCTCTCCAAAGGGGAGTGCAGCTCACTTGTCTTGCGTGTGTGTGTGGGGTGGGGGTGGGGTCTCCAGTTCAATCCTGGCACCACAAAACATAATACTTTTTCTTTAACTTTCACTTCATTCAGGTGGGAGGGATGCTGGGACAATTGGTGGTGGGAAATGGGCACTGGTGGAGGGATGGGTACTCGATCATCGTATGACTGAAACACAAGCATGAAAGTTTGTAAGCCTGTAACTGTACCTCATGATGACTTACTAATAAAAAAATAAGTAAAAATAAATTAATTAATTAATTTAAAAAACTGGGGCTGGAGCAATAGCACAGCGGGTAGGGTGTTTGCCTTGCACGCGGCCAACCCGGGTTCGATTCCCAGCATCCCATATGGTCCCCTGAGCACCACCAGGGGTAATTTCTGAGCGCAGAGCCAGGAAGAACCCCTGTGCATTGCCGGGTGTGACCCAAAAAGCAAAAAAAAAAAAAAAACTGAGACCTAATAGCATGGGTTCAAAATTCAGCTGCCCCTACTGACAGGACCTAACAGCGATTACAAAGATTAAATGATGCTACCTATACAAAATAATTAACAAAAAATAAGAGGCCAGTCAAATGCTATAGGAATTAAGGCGCTTGCCATACACATGGCTGACCTGGGCCCTTCTATCCTCAGCACCTCTTATAATCCAGGCACCACCAGGATTGATCCCTGAGCTGGGATTAAGCCCTCAGCAATGTCAGATAACACCCGACACGCAACAAAAAAAAAAGCCCTAAAAAAATCAGCAACAGTAATGCATGGTACACAGAACACATTTAGAAATATTATTTATAATCCCTTCTAGCTGGGTAAACTTTATCAAGTTCTCAATCCTCCTAAGGTCTAATTTATTCATCAAGCAGAACAGTTACGACAATACCATCTCATAGGACCATCACAGTACAGGTACAATGTCAAGAGAGTCCGTGTCAAATCCTTAAGACATTTTCTGGCATCAAGTAAAAAGCACCACATACACCGTAATCGTTAGTGCTGCATATTGATCACCCACCAGACGTCTCAGAGCTAAACCATGGAAAACGTGCTGAAAGCTACTGCAATTTTATACTTTCTACTTTTGCTGCTTATACCAAATCTTCTAAAAGCAGTTCAATATTTTGAAAATGACAAAAATCACTCATCTGATGGGAATGGTCATTTTTTGTGCCAGCTAAATCGTTGAGAAGGCATGAAAAGCCAAACATTAAATATGCATCCTCTAAGAGAACTGTGGTGTCCAACTCTTGTGCTGTGCTCAAGAGTTATTCCTACCTCTGCACTTACTCCTGGAAGTGCTTAAGGGGCCATACAGGTTCACTCATTAAAAACTATGTGATCCCAGTGAAAGCCTGCTACCTCATCTGACAAGGAAACATTCATTCTTGGTTTTGGTTTAGGATGGTTTTTCCTTTCCTTCTTTCTTTAGCACAGCGGGTAGGGCGTTCGCCTTCCAAGCGGCCAACATGGCCGACCCGAGTTCGATTCCTCCGCCCCTCTCGGAGAGCCCGGCAAGCTACCGAGAGTATTCGATATGCCAGACACAGTAACAACAAAGTCTCCAATGGAGACGTTACTGGGCCCGCTCGAGCAAATCGACGATCAACGGGAGGGCCTTTACCTTTACCTACCTTTCTTTCTTTCTTAGCAGGGGTAGGGGCATTGAGCCATACTCAGTAGTGCTCAGAGCTTCTGTGCTCATGGATCACTCCTGGCGGGAATCGCAGCATATAGGGTGCTGGGGATTGAACTGGGTTTGCTGCATATAAGGTAAACGTTACAGCCTCTATACTTCACCCAGGCCACAGTCACTTTTTGTTTTTGTTGTTTCGGACCACACTGTGCTGTGCTCAAGAGTTATTCCTAACTCTGCACTTACTCCTGGAAGAGCTTAAGGGGCCATATGAGATGCTGGAGATCCAATCCGGATTGGCCTTGTGCAAGGTAAATGCCCTACCTAATGTTCCCACAGCAAAACATTCACTCTTGAAGGGCACAAAACTGGAGGAACTTGACTCTGCTTATCCCTGGAGCCAGATACTTTCTCCACACCTCTGGATCCTGGTTTTATTTGTTGTGTATGTGCAAGGTGAGCTCCTAAGAGCAAGAATACTGCTCTTTATCACTGTCTTTTTTGGGGTCTTGGGGTCATACCCAGAGGAGCTCAGGGCTGACTCCTGTGTTAGGGACAGAATCAGGATCAATTCACACATGGCAATTCCTATACTCTATAAGATATTCCAGCCCTACGTTACTGCCTGACATCATGAGGGAAAGCAGTGAATTAAAAAAAAATCAATGTTGTAGATACTTTGTTAATTAACTGCAAACATGCAGATTTAGGTCAATATCAACAGGCTTGGAGGCCTGATAGTTCCTACAAGAGGGAAGGCTCAAAGCTGCAAACTTGTTTACTACAACGTTTACTACAAATTAATGTTGAAGAAAATAGAGACAGAGCAGAATCAGAATGGAAATTTAATTTTTTGTTGGTTTCTGTACCACACCCTGTGGTGTTCAAAGTTTACTCCTGACCCACTCTGATCCTGCACTCAGGGATTGCTCCTGGTGGGCTTGGGAACCCTGTGTGGCGGCGGCAATCAAACCAGAGTAAGACCAGTGGTAGGCTATTGTACTACGGGTTCCAGCCCAAAATTAAACCTTGACACAAATCAATCTAGATTTATGTGGACTATTTCTACTTCCTATGTAATGGGAAGCACTCTCAGGAATTCTAGATCTCCAGTTACTTGTAGTCACATCTCTTTTATTTTCCCTTTTTGAGCCAGAAACTAAGACACATATTTGAAAGTTTGGTTTCAGTGCCTACAACCACCGTGTGGGAAAGAAAATTCAATCAAGTTAAAAATTAGGTTAACTTCACCAAACCACTGGGAAACGGTAGCAAATTTCATATAAAAAATAAGTTTCAAACAAAGCTAATGAAAAGCAAAACTATTTTAAATACACCATTAGCAGTATTATACCGTTCGATCATAGGAAGTTAATGATATGAAATTTTGAAAAGGCAAACGTTAATAGATTCCATTTGTGGGCAAATTCACCAATACAAAAAGAGCTCAGGTGTTTTTGAGCCAGCCCGCCACTTTTACGTCCGCCTGTGCACTACCCACTGAGCGTCAGGACAGTGCGCAAAGGGCCGCGGGGTGGGTGGAATGCGCCTGGGAACGCCGCCGAGTCGGGCGGTAGGGTTATGGGGCAAAAGGTGGGCAAAGAATCCCACCAAGAATATCCTGGGAGAAGGAACAAACACGACCCAGAACGATGCCAAGTTCTGAGCCTCCAACCCGGGTCAACGAGCCCGGCACGGCGCGGAGCGCGGGTGGCTGCCGAGCTCGAAGCCCACCGCGGCCGCTCGGTCCCAGCACCGGCACCGGCCAGCGGGCTGGGTCCGGCAAGGTCCGTCCAGTCGGCGCCGCGGGGTGATTCACTTGCGGACCCGGCCGGGCAGAGGGTCTCCCACAGCGCCGCTGCGCCCCAGCTCCCGCGGAGGTCACGGGCAAGGTCCCCGGGAGCGCCGCGGGCCCACGTGGGCCGCGGGGCACCCGGGTCGCCTTCCGGGCACTCCCGCCGGCCAACCCCGCGCGGGTCGGACCCGGGTGCCCCCCACCCTCGGCCCCGCGCCGCTCACCCGGCGCTCGCCGAACAGGTCCAGGCGGCGGCCCTGCGGCTTCACATTGAAGGCGGCGCCCACCGGGGCCCAGCTCGTACTGACCCCTCGGGCCCAGGTCTCGGCTGCGAGGCCGCCCAGCAGCGCTGGTCCCGGCCGCAGAGCCGCCACCCGGGCCCCCAGCCCCCCCAACCACACCATCGCACTCCGGGGTCTGCGCCAGTCCCGCCGCACGCCCCCCGCCGTGCGTTTCCAAGGCAGCAGCTCACGCCGCGCCACGTGACGGCAGCGCTTCCGGGTAGCGGCGTGCGGCTCGCCGGCCCCGAGGCAAGAGCGTCTCCCAGTCGCGGTCTCAGTGGCGCCGGGGGCTGGCGCCTCCGTGCGGCCGGAATTAGGAACGAGAGGAGGCGGCTCTTGGAACCCGCTGACGCTTCCGGTGACGGCCGCCAGCGCGCTTCCCGGACTTGGCTACTAGTGCTTGTTGCACTCCGCAGCACGCCTCTGCCTGAGCGTTCTGCAGAGTAAAGGCTATCCACGTTTAGTTTGGAATGGGAATGCACATCCGAGCTACTGTGCGGAGCTGAATCTTTCTTCTTGTCGTTCAAGCCAAGACCCAGCTCCAGCAGCCCGTGCGGGGTTGTCCGCAGTTGAGTAGTGTCCACCGGTCTTTGCAGGCCGTAGCTGCTAGGAACACTGTGCAGGCGCCTGGGCCGCCTGACAGAAGAATGGGGAAACCAAAGTGATTTTGGTGCGCCCCAAGGCGGAGAAGAAAGGGAGGAGAAAGACTCACTTTCTCCCCATCCACTTCTGCCACCTAGGACCCAGAGTTACTGGGTTCTTGCCTCACCTGGCAGAAAAGAATTTCAGGAATAGATGTGCAATGAAGTGAAACATTTTATTCGTAGGTTTTGAAGGGGGAGTGGAGGAAGAGAAAGTGGGAGAGTGGAGAGTAACGTGCTCAAGAGAACCCAGGCTTCTCCGAGGGCTGAGAGAGCCGCTGCACACACATCCCAGCATTAGGCATGAAAGCATAAAAGTACACATCTCAAGAGTGGAGATGCGGCAATACATGTGCTTAGCTGCCACGTGCGCTCCGCGACGTGGGTACAAGTAGAACATGGGATCCGGCAGCATATGTGCGCCCTTCCTTTGTTCAAGGTGGCTTTTATAGGGTTTTTCCAATTTACCCCCCGACGTGGGGCTTCTACCTAGATAAGAGTCCATTGCTAGGGTTGCCACGAAATAGGTAGAGTTGGGTTGACCTTTGAAACTCCTTTTTTTGACCTTTGGACCTGCTGGATCTTCTCTGGAAGGATAGGTCCAGCCTTCTCTGGTGTGGATTATCGAGGATTAATCAATCAGATTAAAGGAAGAAATTGAGGGTTCTCCAGTAATTTTCTTCAGGCCCTTTCTATAGGGAGGGGTCCAGTCTCCTCAAGGTCTGTTGCTGGAGAAGGTCTTGCTTTCTGTATCCACAAGGTGGGTCGGACTTTAGGACTGGTAGCTTTATTACTTCCGGATATTTCATTGCCATCATGTGGAGGTGGGGGGAGGGTTTACCTAATCTACCTGCCTGCATCAAAATGAAGGGGTTCTCCAAGTGCCTGAGAACAGATGACTGGTTAAAGAAACTCTGGTAGGTCTACACAGTGGAATACTATGCAGCTGTTAGAAGAGATGAAATCATGAAATTTGCATATAAGTGGATCAACATGGAGAGTATCATGCTAAGTAAAATGAGTCAGAGAGAGGGGGACAGACACAGAAGGACTGCACTCATTTGTGGAATATAAAGTAACAGAATGGGAGACTAACACCCAAGGATAATAGAGATAAGAGCCAGAAGGATCGCTCCATGGCCTGGAAGCTGACCTCACATGCTGGGGGGAAAGGCAGCTGAGATAGAGAAGGGACCACTAAGTGAATGATGATTGGAGGGCTCACTCAGGATGGGAGGTGTGTGCTGAAAGTAGATTATGGACCAAACATGATGGCTTAGTACCCATATTGTGAAACATCACACCCAAAAGGAGAGAGAGGGTAAAAGGGAATGTGCCTGCCACAGAGGCGGCAGTGGGAGGGGGAGTGGGGTGGCGGTGGCAGGAGAGGGGAGGGATACTGGCAACATTGGTGGTGGAGAATGGGCACTGGTGGAAGAAGGGGTACTCGAACATTGTATGTCACTGTCACTGTCACTGTCCTCCCGCTGTTCATAGATTTGCTCCAGTGGGCCCAGTAACGTCTCCATTGTGACAATTGTTACTGTGTTTGGCATATCAAATACCTCACGGGTAGCTTGCCAGGCTTTGCCTAGCAGGCAAGATACTCTCGGTAACATTGTATGATTGAAACATAATCACAAAAGCTTGTAAATCTGTAACTGTATCTCACGTGGAAGGGGTTCTGTTCTCTGATGATTGTTAGGATAAGGTCATGTGGGTGCATGTCTGGAAAAGGGAAGGCACTACAGGATAGGACAGAGGCATCTTGAGCAGCTCACCATTGGTCCGCTATCTGCAGACCACAGCTACCGCTCGTGTTGGGAAAGGCTGCTCTAGGAACTGCACCATGAGGCTGAGCTGGGAGAAATCAGTGGCTCTCTGGTCCAAAAGAAGCCTGGTGGAGAGGTACCTCAGATCCTCAATCATTACTGGGCTTTGCACAGGACCTGGACCTCGCTGACTAAGTCAGCATCTGGGTGCACAGACTCTGCAGAGAGCTGTTTCAAAGGATGTTTCTTAAGCTTTAGCCACCTGAGGTGTGACTTGGGTGTGTAAGCAAACGTTTTTGTGTATGCAACATAAAGTATCAGATTTTCTTAAATGAAACAAACCCTCCAACTTGAGTCCTGGAACTCAGGGTACCACAGAAGTGATTGAACTTCAAGCTTGCAATGGAGAGTAGTGGAGCGATTTTAACACCTCTGGGGTATGTGTGTTTGTGGTAGCATTGTAAAATGGGGTGATCATCTTTAAATACATAAGCATGATTAGATTAGTGTAAAGATTAAAGTTGTCTTTGATTCTGCCTCACCAGGGCCCCTTGGAGGAGAGAGGGTTGAGTTTCCCTCCCCGCCCTGAGCAGAGCCCTCGCAGCTGAAGACCTCCGGTTCCAGCCACAGCTATGCTTAAGACCACTCTCCACAAGCTTGGACAAGCCTCACCCATGAAGGAACCGGCAGAGGAACCCAGGTGTGCAGGACCCGGGGCTTAGATCTTCAAGCCTGTTTGGATTGGGACTGGGGCTCCTCCACCCAGATCCCCCATCTTCCAGTATGTAGGCGTTACACACACCAACTGCCCCTTGCACTGTGTAATCCCATCAATGGCCAAGACCCAGAGACTATAAAACCCAGCTCCTGGAAGCGTGCGGCCCCGACATCTGATTCTCTAGTTCTTACTCTGAAGAACCTGGCAGGCTACCGAAAGTATCCTGCCCGCACAGCAGAGTCTGGCAAACTCCCCATGGTGTATTCAATATGGCAAAAACCAGTAACAATGATGGGTCTCATTCTCCTGACCCTGAAAGAGCCTCGAATGTGGCACTTTCTAAAATCTCAGGGCTAGGACGAAGGAGACGTTACTGGTGCCTGCTCGAGAAAATCAATAAATAGGATGGCAGTGATACAGTGATATAGTGATTCTGCCTCTACTTACTTTGTACATGCTGAAGCGAAGTTAACAGCTCCCTGCATTCCTTCTTGCAGAAACTGCAGGTCTATTCAGGCCTTTAAGCTTTACCTCTTGACTGTCCCCCAAATGTGCATGTTTGCAAAGTTATAAAGTTTAGCACTGGGCACTGTAACATTAACTTTTTCTTTTGAGCTTTCTTTATTGTGTTCCCTCTTGGTGTTAGGCATTAAGGCAGCTGGTTAAAAAAGTGGGACTGGAGAGATGGTACAAGGTGAGGGCACTTGTCTGCTTCACCTGCAATTGCATCCCCAGCACCACATACAGTGCCCAGAGCACCTCCAGGAGTGTTGCCTGACCAAGAGGCAGGGGGCGAGAACACCAGGATACAGTGGCCAGGAAGCAGCTCCCAAGCATCATGCTTGGAAGAGTTCCACTAGGGGTGACCTAAACTACAAACAAAAACACACTTCTGTGAATTTGAAGTGTTATAAGGTGTGCTAACTTAATCAGGCACGAGGAGACAATCCACAGCAGGAGAGCAGGAGGCCTTTATTACAGCAGCTGATCGGACCAGTGGGTGAAGGTTGGGCAAGCTCCTGAAGCAGACTAAGTCAGGGGTCCAAGAACTTGTTTTTATGGGGCATAATTGCAAACTCATGGTTACTTTTCTTGTGTTCAAGCCATGCAGGAACACACACGTGTGATGGCACCTTGTCAGTATGCTTACAGAGATTTTCCTAAAAGCAGCATTTTTTTTTAGCTTTGAACAGGGAAGTTCCTTGTGGGCATCTTTTAAAGCTTTCCACCCACAAGCAAAATAGTCTCTAAAAGCACCTGCCATAAATCAATTATAAAATCAAAATGCATTTCATAAATTTCCATCATAACAGAAGACTGTTGTTTAAAGACAGGTATTCCCAGGTGGCCATGGGGTCCAATGCAACCCCAATCACAGACTCCTTGGTAACTCCAAGCTGCCAAAGTCACTCCCATCAATAAATTCTATTTCCTATTAAAAAAATTTTTAAAATACCTTGAATCACTCTTCTTATAAGATGTTCAATACCCAAGATGCTTCAGACAGTAAAATGATCAAAAGCATTTTTTAAATGTAATAAACAGTTTTCTCCTCAAGCCCATGTTCTACCCTGAACATGTTTCACTTGTCTATCTCTATGTTTTTTGGGCTTGCTTGTTTCCACTCTAGAAAAGCCTGCATTCTCTTTTCATCACCTTTCCTCCTCTTTCTCTCCTCTCACATCTTTCTAAGCAAGTTTCATTCAATAAAAACTATCTTGCTTCATTTAAAAAAAAAGAAATTATAGGATCAAGGCGTAGTACCAGATGCAGGGCACTTGCCTTGCATGAGGTCAACCCAGGTTCAATTCCCAATGCTCCACTTGGTTCCCCAAGTGCCTTCAGTAGTGATTCTTAGGTGCAGAGCCAGGAGTAACACCTGAGCTTCTCTGGTGTGCTCCCCCACTCCACCCCCAAAGCAAAACAAAACAAAGAAACAAACAATGCAAATATTTTTGTGATTTTCGTTTTTTGTTTGCTTTTTTTTTTTTTTTTTTTTTGCGTTTTGGGTC